AGGGTCAGACATACGAAAAGATTCATACGTCAGTTCCACGTTTTCACGTTGTCGACCTCCGCTGATTATCGATCGTTGTCCGTGTATGTGCATCACGACGACGTCAACGACGAACACAACAGACACACGCATACACACACGTCGCATCCATCTATCATCACCACCAGAATTTCTTGTATTCGTCCTATTGTCTTATAATTCGAAGTTGATCAATGAAATTTTCAGTAAAATCTTTAAAGGCAGATACTACTTCTTTCGTATCTGATCCATCACGCGTTCGTACTTATTCGATTTCTGTGAAGAATCTGAGAAGAAACGAGAAATCTGATTTGATGAAGATTTCGCTTTCACTCTCTGAAACTCATACAGCTCATAACCTTCTGTTGGTCATACTTCATTACAGTTCCATGTCTGTTGTAGCCTTCGTAATCGACATCATGATCCGCACTGAAAGTTTTACTTCAACTATCGAACCTCTTTTTTTTTTCTATTCTTCCCCGTTCCTTTCTTCAAGTTGTAAAATCTTTTTTTCGCGTGTAGATGATGATTGTGTTGGCACAGCTAGCTATTGAATGATCACGATTACGGATTTTTCTTCTCATTCAATTCTTCCATACATTAGCGTCTCTCTTCTTTACAAATTCATCACTTTTATAGATTTATCTCATACTGCTGACATTCTAACAGTTCATCATAAATTCTTTTTTTGCACGACACACTAGCATTTAAGCTACCAGTTCTTACACTCTAGACTCTTCGTTCTGTCTGTCTTTTCCGATGCCAATACCTGATTGAACTATTCATCTTAGTAAGTAATTTGCTAGAAAAGCTGCGTGTGATTTTGCTGAAGTATCGATATGATGAACAAGTATCATCGATCATATCAACATATGATGCGATTATATCATATAGCTACTGGGAAAGATTAAATTAATGATTACTTCATTTCTTTTTCGTTCGTAACTTTGTTCGTTAAAAATTCATCGCTTTCTTTCGAAATGTGTATTGCGTGAAATGTGCAGAAACAGATTTTGATTGCAAACGTCCGCTCAATCTCAGCCTGTTTCTCTCATTTTTTATCTTTACCTGTATTCTATCTGTTGCTTCTAGTTGGAAATTTGTTCAAAAACCACTGGAATTCATTCTGTCGAGTTAGTCCCCCTCATTTATTCGAAACATGACGTGAACACTAAGTCGCTCTCGCTAGATCGTCTCTCTGCTTTTTGCCGGACGTCATTGTTCATAGACTTGACGACCATTTTTCTTGTGAGCCCCCTGTGTGCTCTATGCATCCATTAAAACTGAAACCTCGAACGATTTGAGCGTCAGACTTGGCGAACAAATGAGATTCAGCTTGATTTGACTTGAACATACCGTGGAAGAAGTTGCGTAGGGAGTCCAGGGTTTCTCTACTAGCCCGCTGGTGTTCATCTCCATTTAACTCCTTAAGCCTTTTTTAAGTCTTGATTCTTCGTTGCGATATCCTTGCGAAATCTCTATCGACTACAATAGTGGTCATCTTCACTTGGCTAATTGTTCATTATCATTATTTTCCCACCTCACACATCTCTTTCTGAATTCAATTGTTGAAAAGCGATTGAGAGAGAAAAGGAACAACCGTTTCATACGATCTGACACATCAAAATAAAATGCCAATTTCACGTAAATCACGTAAAATCGGCTTGTGGCGCGAACATCGAAATGTGTCGTTAAACTAAATGTATTTTAAATGAATAATTAATGGATTGTATGACATTTGAATTTATTCGAATTATCCATGTGCTTTTTTCTATATTTTTAGTTTTATTTTTGCTTTTCTATTGCCGACGGCCAGGCATTTTCTGAAAAAAAACTTTTTTTTCTCAAATCTTTTCGAGCAATTATGGGACTTTCAGTTTGTTCGAATCGATGTATCCATTAGGTCCTATCTTTGAAAGCCCTCTGACCAATACTCAGATTACTTGACTCATTATTGATCGATAATTATTGATTGAGAGGAGGAATTTAAAAGAAAAATATAATTTTATTTTTTATTTCATTTTGAAGACATTTCGCTTTTCCGAATCTATCCAGCCATCAGTCTTCAAAACGACATCCGGTCTCGAACAACGACAAAACGATTCAGATCTTTGCTGCGTCTGTCTCGATTTCAGCTTGTCTTTTCAGACGTTATATGAGTAATTGACGTCATTTCGTCTATAATGATTTTTCTTGTACAATTCTCTTTTTCCAATGACTTATCGATGATACATCCCGAAGTATACTCGAGGACACTGCCACACTTCTTAGGATAGTTATCTAACTCTCTATGCCTCTGTCAACGTTGAGATATGCGACCGAATAATGCTTTGAATAACGTCTCCCTGTCGCCTTCACCTGAACGACACTTACGTCGAAAGTAAGATTCTATGAAAGTCAATGCTCTTTGTAATATGTTTACGACGGAAATTGGGAAAGGATGAAAGGAGATCAGATGCATCTTTTTGCTTTTCCTCCTCATCTTCATTTTCCATCTGTGTTCTCTCGTTGTTTCTCTGGGCTCTTCTTAAATTCAGTCAACCTTCACGTACGTGAGCATTTCTTCTTATTACACATCTTTGAAAATCTACTAGGCTAGTCGTAGTCGACTCCCTACACAGCTGTCTCGTAAGAAGATGAGAGAAAATGAAATGAAGAGAGAAACAACTTGAAAAGTGAGAGAAATGAGGGCAGAAGGATGGACACTAACACACAACCTAACTATACCTCTGTACCACCAACTTGAAAAGTCAAAGATTTTCAAGTGTCAACAGGGGTTACTGGTTGATGTTCGAGTTATCAACATGCGTCTGCTCTTTCTATCATTTACATCATACTCTTCCAAATTGTCGTTCTATAAGTTTTCTCTGTTCGAAATTACGTTTGAAATCATTGTATTGACTTTTTCAAAGGTCTTAACATCTTTTCTAACACTAGAACACTTGGCCCGTTCACGTAGAAACCTAAGTGAGAGAGAGAAGGAAAGAAAGGGGGATGAACACCCACACGAGTGAAAAAATAAAAAGGTTAGGAAGATAATATCTTTATCAATTCTCGATTTCTTGCATTCTAACTAACTTATGTTATTTTAGCGTCCGTCTTCGACTGTGTAATTGCTACTGTTCCTTTGTGAGCCCTCTTCCACTCATTTTTTCTGCCCTTTCATGTTTTTTCAGTATAGATTTCTCAGTTTTGATAATTTTCATGGGCTCCATTGTACGATAAGATCTATTGTCTGTTCGAACGAGTTATTTCTACTCTTAACCGACACCAGCTATCTTTCTGTCCGTAGATACGAGTCCAATTACGATAAACAGCACAACTTGTTGATGACGGTGAAGAATTCCCAGAGGCTAGCTGTCCACCTATCGCATCCCAGCTGTTGAGATACTTTACGTGGAATCTCTGGCGATTGGCAAGTATAGTGAAAAATGAAGAAGAAGAGATAAAATGACAGAAATATCTCACGGAATGAGAGAGAAGAGAGATTAGCTTTCCGTGAATCCGATTAAGAGATACTTCTATTGCGTTCGACTCTTTGACACCAGCCGCCTGTAGCTATTTGAAAATACAATGGAAGAGCGTCTGATTCTGCTGACGAGTATCTTTTGGTCTATGTTGCTCTCTGATGTTACAGCATACTGCCAAATAGCTGGTACATCTTGAGAGAAAAGAGAGAGAAGACGTGTGTGTTTGAGAGAGTGAGATTAGGTTTGTACACTACTTGTATTCGATCGCTTTCTTCGTAAGAGCTACGTGGTCGTGATGGCAGAATAACATTGCGAGAGGCAAAGAGGGATGCAAGCGGATTGGTCAGCTGCTACTTTGCTTACTCTACGTGGTCCACACACATAGACCCTCATACACATATTCAACAGACTTCTTTTCTGTATTTTCTTTTTCTCCCACTAACTCATCCCGCTGTTATATTTTTACGACTTTACGTGTTAAAAGAATGTCAGCTATGAACGTCTAAGCATTCTGTCCACCTGACCTTTTGCATATGACAAAAGTACTAAACTGAGTTTCACGTGACACGCATGTGCTGATTATAACTCTTTTAATCAGAACTTTTCCCTACCATCTACTAAGAACTAATCTCAAGCCGAACCCAAGGGCACGTTTGCGTGTTGGGCGGTCTCGTCACGACTTGGACTGGTCAGCTGGTATGTTGCCCAGTTAGCTGGCAGCCTTCTTTCATTCGATCATCTATCTCTCTCTCATCTTTTCTTCTGAAGCTTAGAACTCGCAAGGTTTCGTCCTCACTTGGTCCTCGCCTGTTTCCAACGAGTTCGTCTTCGACAACGACGACCACGATGACTAGAACCAACACCACTCATTTCTGTTGCTCCTTTCGGGTCTCTCCAGATCACTCTTTTCTCTCCTCATTTCGTTCTCTATCTCTTCATGTCTTATGTCCTTCATACACAAACGACGAATTGCAACTGACCCGCCTCCTGAGCTCTCGCCCTGATGGGTAAATAACGTAAAAACATGCTCACCCGCCCCACCAAATGGTCAATCTGTCCCTCGGGGAATCATGTGAACACAGCTTTCTGTTCTCTTTCACCTTGAATCTTCTATATTGTAATCTTTCATTTTTATGTCATTTCTACTCTTAACTATACGTTCTTGTTTGCTAAACACGTATGAAGAGCTCGCAAGTTTGGAAGAAACTGAAATTATTTATATATATATATATATCCTCATTTTATTTTAGAAATTGAAGTTCTGTTTTTGTACTACCAACAGCTTGTAAATTTTCTTACTTGATCCGACGGTGGATTTATCGATTTTTTTTTAAATTCCCACCCAAAATTTGCGCCATTATGTTACGTGGATGTTGCTTTCACGTATTCTAATTTTCGCGTTGTACTATTTATACATTACGAAATTTGTGTCATTTCTCGTTCGTCTTTCGCAATGTGCGGTTGATTGCAACCTAGGTCGTATATATTTCTCTTACTTGTTTTTTTTTACAGGCTGGCTATTTTAAATTTCGTGCAAGATATCACCTCAAACTCTTTGACGATGCCAGATGAGAGTGCATCACCTACGTCTCCCAGGACATCGTCTGAGACGCCGACTGACGAAGAAAATTCTATTAGTGAAAATGGAATCAGGGATATCAATAAAATTTTCGATGACCACACAACCATTGATCCTAATGCTGGAAAGGTTATAGAGGTATAGCCTTTGTTTTACTATTTTAAGACTTTTTTCTATATTTGTGCTTTCAACAAACGTCATTGTGTATGAGAAGGGACTTCAGAAGCTAGAGATCTAGTATTTGCTATTTTTAGTGTGCGTGAAACGAAAATTCTTTTTCGCTGCGTAGTCATGTATGTTGAATGAACAGTTCGGACGCTGCCAGTTAAATCGCAGAGATTGCGCTCTGACTATTCATTTGTTTGTGCAAGCAGCAGAGGCCCGAAATAGCGCAGAGAGAGCTGCGAATAGAAAGAACGTCACGTTTTCGTCTCCTTAGCTTTCCACTTTGAGTTTGAAGCGAACACTATAGAAGAACAGACCACATCATTGGTGCTCAACTTTTTTTAGTTGAATGCTGGAGGTTTTTGAATGAAAATCTTAAACCAGTATTGAATTCAATAGGGAGTGTGATAGATAGTCTGAAGCTGCTCATAAGTTATACTCTGGACGAAAAAAGTTCTATCTATTGTCATACTTGACGTTCAGCAATCTTTACTGTCGCAAATAATTGAGCTAGCTTTGATTATGGAGAAACCTTATGTTTCAACCTTTGTTTTTTTTGAAAGTGCAAGTCGGGATGAAGATATGAACCTAGCGTTGCAATTGTCGCCTTAGGCCTTTCGTTGGCTCTGTTTGTTTTTCCAAGTGCGTTTGTTTGTGTTTCTATTCTCGTGCGTGCGCGAGTATTCTCGTGTCGGGACCGTGGTCAACGACTGTCCAAATAATCCTCGGCCTGTTGCCCGATGAGCAATGCTTCTAGGTCGTTGTTCGCCTCAGGGCACTATAAAAAGCGAAACTAGACTTGTGTATGAGGGTATAGAGTTCTAGATGGATTCAACTTTACAATGTAGAAATTATCAAATGATTTATGTTTAACGATAACTAATTCAAATGATGAGGGCAGACAGTCGTGTGGAATGGCTATTAGTAGAACACGCGGTTGCGTGAGAGAAAGTAATGTAGTCGTTAGGAACGTAGAGATCAACGGATGAACGTCTGAAAGATCAAATACTCAGAAAATGGGGATTTTTATACTCTTACACTCTCAACAAACTGTTATATGCTGTATTTTCAGATAAAATGTGGTCCGCTATATGCGAAAATGCATTTAGAATTATTTCGATGTCCTGGAATTCATCAGGCATGTATAGAACTTAATGGTAAGTAGTAAGAGAATGACTCGTCAGTGAGAGTTTGATATTGTAGGAGAAATGATTAGTCCCAAAGAATTTACTGTGCGTGCAAACAAAGATAAGCAAAAAGATTGGAAAGGCAGCATACGCATAGGAAAATCCAATCTCAGGTTCGCTGACAAACTGTTTGTGTGGTTTCACATTATTGCTTTTCAGAACTCTCATGGAAATGAGAACTTTCGATTTCTATAATCATGCGCAACTCTGTTCCGCAAAATGTCAGAGTAGGAACTATATAACACCTAAAGAAAAAGATTGTGAGAGCAGGTAAATTCCAAATTTGACATCTTGTTTATTTGCTTTTTCTTTTTCAGACGCGGTAGCTCAGCATCGCAAAAAGCTGCACCTGTTTTCCCAAACCTGTTTAGTAACCAATTCATGGGTCAAGCACAGTGCAATTTAAGTAAGACTAACAACAATTCGAAAATTGAGAATGAATGGTTCATTTCCAGATATTTTCAAAGAAGCGTCAACTTTCACTCAATTAATGCAATGGAATAATGTACTCAACAATAATAATCAACAGTTGAACGGGACATTCAAAAGTGAAGTCAAGGAAGAAGTTGTAGATGTTGACGACAGTTTAACGGAATCTCCGCAAATTCCTGTCATGCTCCCACCAGAACAATACTTGAGGATGATGAATACAGGTGAAACATTTAAACACAATCACAAACTCTGATCTCTTCTATTTGCAGATCCTCCAGTTTTTTGGACTGAGATGAGCCAAATGAATATTTTAGACGACATTATTGACCAAATGGTACAATCATTGTACCGAATCCGAGATACGTCAAAGATGTTCGGAACTAGCAATGGTGAGCACGAGCCGCGTCCTCATCCTTCTAACTTCTCTGGTTCAGTAGCGTCTTCTCTAACCAGGGTGGCATCATCGTTAAATATTGGTGATTCAATCATCAATTTAATAACGGATAAGCAAATCCAAAAACGCTTGAACATCCAAATGGAAAAGCCACGCCTTTCATCTGGTAAGAGAGAGTATAGCACTGCCCTGTTACCATCACGCATTGCAGATTATTCCTGTCTAGAAGATACGGACAGAAAACGATCCATCGATGAATCCTCTCAATCCTCCTCAAATTCTCAATCAAGCCCCGAAGTAAAAAGGCCACGAGTTCAATATCCAAACGGGTTATCGCAATCAGAGGTTTGTATTAGACTGCTACAATCGAAACTGAATTCTGCTTTACAGGCGCCAGATCTCAACCTGCTTCAAGCTCTTGTCAACGCACAAATGCAGCTTGGTCAACAGTCTTCTATGGATCTATTATTATCACTTACAACCCCTCTCTCATTTGGTGATTCTCTTCTCGCTTTGAAACGAGAGCAAAATAACTCAGTATGATTTTCTCGATGTAACGTTTTCCCACCGCAATCAAGACTGTGAATCTAGTCATCAATTTTGAAACGTTTAATATTCTTAATATTTCTTGTTATTATTGTGTTATTGGTGATGGCCTTTTGCTATTTGTATATGTTGATCCCAATACTTTATCGAAACCTTCAATTCTGAAGGCTTAAGTCCCTGTGAAAATTCCTCAGGCCTTAAAATCGAATGCATGTTGTACATTTAATTTTTGCTACTACACGGGGTATGCTACCTTTCTAAATTAAGAGCTTTCACTTAGTACTCATAGCTGATATCTATTATTATTATTATTATTATGTCCAAATTTAATAAAAAGTTGTTTGAAATTCTTTTTTTGATGAGAAAAACAAAATGTGGTTAAGTTGTGTGTCATAGTCGGTAGGCCACATCATGTTATAGGTGTACGGTAAGGGAAAATACGCAGCCGTGGCAACAAAAATGTCAGCGTGTAAATGTTACAACTTTGGCACAAATTTCAAAGCCTGATTTGAATTTTACATGATTTTTTTTTCTTTCTATAATTTCAATAACTATTTTGATTTACAGGTTTAGTTAATACATTTTGTTTAAATTTAAATAATGTCCACTCGCACTCGTCGTAGTGCTGGAGGGGAAGCTCCCACCTTAAATCCAACTATGATTCAATTACTAGACGTTGGTAGATTGCGAAAGGTAACAGAAAATTGAAACAAAGCCAAATTTTTTTTTCAAGGAGCTCGAAATTAGAGGTCTCCCTACAAACGGAGCGCGACAAATTTTAGCAGATAGATTATCAGACGCTGTTTTGCTTGGTAAAAGTATAGAAGAACCTGCTGTAGTAGTTTCTCCACAACCGAAGCGAGCTATTAAGAAAACAGTAAGTATACAAGTAGTATTTCTTCATTGTAACATTTTTTGAAGCCAATAAAGCCTGAAGAACCTGAGGCGGAGGTAGTAACTTCCATCGAACCAGTTGAAGATGTCAAAACGATAGTTAAATCCGAACCTATTGAAGATTCTCCAAAGCCTAAAAAGAAAAGATCTCTCGTATGACTATTCTTGTTTTTGTTCACTATTGTTTTACAATTCAGCAGGCATCGTCAAAAGTTTCAAGTTCGAAAAAGCGCAAAGTTGAGAAAGTTAAATCAGAAGATCGACCGGAAAGTGAAGAAGGTTTGAATTTTATAAAGATGATACCAAAGATTATCTTTAAGATGTTCCGTTACTGAGCGCTCTACCTACATCTGCTCAAAGCAGCAAGAAAGATACGTGTTCTAATGAAGTTGCCGGTCCTAGCACCGATAGCGATGACGACATTCCTTTGTTGAGCCAGCTTCCCTCTTCTAATAAGTCTGATGAAACCTCTGCTGCGGGACACAAGCATGGCACACGTAGTAAAAACTTATTTTCGCCAAGCAGAGAGAAAGTTTTGCCAAGTAAAAAAGTCACAGAAGAAGTAACGATCTATAATCTTGTTGTTGCGAAATTTCATGTTGTTCAGGTTCGGTTACTGTGTAGTGATGATTTTGTTGAATCCCCTCCGGAATCTCCAGGCTATCATAGGTCGCCAATACCTGGAAGTCTTGAAAAAGGCGATACTGGTATGGCCTAGTAAAATTACAAGTACTTACCTGTTTCCATTTAGATTGGAAACCTGAGTTGAAGAAGAAAAAGGATCGACGTCATTCTATTAGTTCTAATGATCGAATAGTTAAAATTGAGAAAAGGTAACATCAGACAACTATCATGTTCAACATAATTTGTAGGCCTCATGAGAAAGAACGTGACCGAGAACGGGATCGTGAGCGTGATAAAGTCAAGCTGATTCGTCCTCCTGAGCGACGAACTGTCGCTGATGAATGGGCTAAACTGATGGCCGAGGTATAGACATATTTAATTCCTAGATAATGATATATTCACTTATAGAGAAGCAAACAAAAAACCTCCCAGATCAGCCCTGGCGTAACCCAAATCAAAACTGAAGCTGCAGAGCCAGAAAAGGAGTCTAAACCGGTAGAGAAGAGAAACGAAGAGAAGAAAGGTAGTTCAATCCATATTTTCTCGTCATAGTTTTTCTCACGTTCTAGTTCCTCGTCCACAACAAATTAAGAAGTCTGCTTCATCGAATGATACTGACTTGCTCGGAAGTATCATGGTCGATCAAACTCATCTGTTAGGTGAAAAGAAGAGGAAAATCGAGGAAGCTGAGAAAGAACACGAACGTATACTTGAGTTGAGAAATGCTGCTTCTTCATTAGGAAAAGGTATCTTTGAATTATTTTAACAGTTCAAATATATTTTTAGCTCCAATAATAACATCTGTGGATCCTAATAGTGCTAAGAGAAAACCATCGGATCCTATGCTGATTTTGCCTCCACCACCCCCTCCACCAAAGAAAATTTTGATGGTACCTGTTCCTGCTCCTTCACTGATTATACCTCCACCCCCTCCTCCTCCTAAGAAGTTGGATTCTCCTAGTCATGGTATTATTTTTTCATTATGTTTTTTTCATCTTCTATCAGTTTCTCGAGTGCTTCTTCCTCCACCACCAGCTCCTCCAAAAGTCCTTCCAGTGACTAATTCGTCTAGTAAACTTATACCTCCTCCACCACCAAAAGGACCATTGCCAGAACATATCAAATTAGAGAAAGAGGTAGGCTTCTGCTAAATTCGTTTTTTTATGATCCATGTATCTAGAAAGTGAAAGCATCGTTGGTTGATAAGAACAGCACGTCAGGAGACTCGAAAAGGTATAGTTATTTCAGAACTGTCAATTTATATTTATTTTTTGAGCAGTATTCCATCTCTACCAAAGCCTATTGAAGCTCCAGTGAATAATGAGAACAGTTTGGTTGTTGGAGTAACTCAAGCCTTACTATTGCTGATCCAGGAAAATAAGAAAAAAGACGAAATGCGTAAGATCACCTTCCTCTCCATTTAAGGAGCATCTCTGTTTCAGTTAGAGCTGATGTTCATGAATGCTTGAATGATATTATACAATGTGTAGTGGAAATTGAAAAACATGTTAGTATTGTTTATACTTATACCTCTCTATGTACAAATTTCAGTCCTGCAGTAGCGTCTCAACACACAGTGATTCTGTAAAAGCGGAAGCGGGTGAAGAAGAAGAATATGATCCCTTAGAAGCTTCCATCATAAATAGCTTCGCTGAGTATGTCCCTTCTATGGTTACCGGTAGAGAAGATAACCTTGCTCTGGTTAGTTTACTAGTTTCGAGCATTTTATAGTTATCTATGTTTAGTATTCTCCATGTTCGAGTAGGTCGTCCTCAGAAGAAGAGGAATATATTGATCACGACGACGAAGAAGATTCGAATGATGAAGCTAGTGATGAAGAAGAAGATATGGATATTTCTACGAAGATTCCTTCAAAAGCTAGACAATTAAGAACCGAGCTCAAACTTGTCGAGCCTGATACGGATCCCTCTCAAAGCGATGGATCAGGGTAAGGAATCGTATATCAGAGAGAAATATAAATTTCTTTCAGGGGAGTGGATTTGATGATGAATCCAAGAGATTTACTAATGAAAGCCAAGAATGTTTTGGAGTCTCTGAATAAGCCGAAGAGCTGTGGTATATCAATGTAACAATACCCATATAGGTTTTGTGTTCAGAAAAAGAAGTTTCCGGACCTCATTATACCCAAATTCCATTGGAGGAAGAGTATGAACCCGAAGAACCTGAGAAACGTGCTCCTGAGTATCATGGAGAGCCAGTGCCGTCTGATGACGATGAAATGCTTTTTGAAATAGCTGCCGGAATATCGAAACCGAAGAAAAAGAGGGAAGTAGTCATTGAGGAAGAGAAGTTGCCCTCGGATGAAACCATCGAACCTGATTATTGTGAGTTTCCAGTAATGAAATCCTGATGGATATTATTTCTTTTAGATAATGCTGACTTACACATCAAACAAGCTACAGATAAGAACTGGCTTATTGAGCCTGAAAACGCAGATGGTTTAGCCTTGATGTGGGGCGGAGTAAAAAGTAATTACGGCATTCGGCTGCCTTTTAGGTATTTTCAACTGGTAATAATCTCATTAATAATGTTCCATCCAGGGATGTCCGCAACAGTGATGAAGATATGGAGACTAACTCATCTTCAGGTTCAATCATAGCTTTTCAAGTCAAGGTGAGCAACAAGCTAACTTTCTTCAAAAAATTATAAAATTCAGATAATTGAATTTCTTTCTACCAAGCATCTACCCTTCGAAGAACTTGATCCTCATGACATACGTGTCGGGTTTTCTCTACGTGACGCTGCTAACATTGTAAAATATCTCTAGCAATAACAATGCTAAGTTTATTTTTATTTTCAGCTTGGCGAGAGTCCTAACTCATACTGTATAACCTCACTTGGTAAGAAGGCTGAATCGAACGAGTTCACCGACTATGGAAAAGCTTTTCATCTCAATGACATCGTTACTGCCTGCATAGTTAGTTCAAACATGAGATCTGCAATAGATTTTACCTTTCTCAGGACTTATCGACGGGTAATATCTCTTATTGGATTAACGATGAGTTTATGGGAGATGCTTTCAAAAACATTCCTCTGCCCATTGACAATGCTATTTATCCTCATATTTCTGTAAAAAATTGCTCGGTTGCTGTTAACTTCGGTGATTTTCCCGGTGGTACAAATGAATGGAAAGAGTATGTTATAAGTTTTATTTTTAATTTCATCAACGTGGGTCTTCAGGAATTCTCTTTGGAGGTTTCCTTCATCTTTGGGCAGAGGAGATTTAGAGAGAAGCCCTAAAGCTCCTGAAAGCAAATCTGAATGCACTGTTTTGATTATGGTGGGGCTGCCAGGTGTTGGAAAAACAACCTGGGTTCGTCAATACCTCCGTGATCATCCTACCGAACAGTGGACTGTCATTCAATCAGAAAACGTCCTATCAGCCATGAAAGTAATTGTTTGATATAAACTCATAGAGTTCTACTCGTGATTTAGATAAACGGAGTCTCGAGAAGAAGGGCTCATCATGGAAGATGGGATATGGTGATGGGTTTAATTGGAAAATCTTTACAAAGGTTTTATTGCTTTTTTTATATGTTAAAAGGAATCTTTTGAGATCGGTGTTACTAGCGGCACGACGCAGGAGGAATTACATCATCGACATGAGCAACACCTCGAGAGATGTTCGTAAGAAACGTTTACAACTTTTCGAAGAATTTAGAAGAAAGGTATATTGAGCCTTCAGCATTCAACTAACTGAAATATTAAGTGCGTGATCATAATACCTTCGGATGATGACATGCTTGATCGCCAAGCTCGACAAGCCCGTCATGATGGTACAGCCATTATGCCGCCTGAAGCTATGCTAGAAATGAAAGCTTTAATGTCTATTCCTGCGCCAGACGCGGAACCATTAGATGAGGTCTACTTCATCGAGCCTCCAATTGCTCGTATCCAAGACGCTATCGACCTAGTTGCAAGGTGAAACATTTCTCATTCTGTCTTTGTTTTCATCGGAATGTAGAAAACTTGATTTTGAAGTAACAACTTCACCATTTGTCTGAACTGTTGCGTTCCTGCTGTGCACCACTGCCTAGTTTGGCGAATATACTTATCTTCTATATTTAAGATACAATGAAGAAGCTAGACCTTGGGTTCAGAAAAAGCACCGTAGGAGACGTGCTCAGAATATTGGATTAGGTGGAGAGAAAGATCAATCGTCGGTTTCCCAACGTAAATGTATGTTTATTTGGAAACTTTTAGCAACAATTCTCTCTTATAGTTACTGTTACGCAACCACTTACTGTTCTACCTCCGTTAAGAGTTTCAATAACACCTCTGGATGACTCGATCTCACCAGCTTTGGTAAAGAGGAGTTTTTTTTCTTTTATACCTTTTTTTTTCAGAGAAGTGCCGGCTCAGTTGGTTCTTCCGGCATGCCAACCGGTGGAGTCGGCGGAGCTCTACTTACCTCACCCGCCAGTATTGCATCGGCTGCCTACGATCAGAAACATTCTGCATCTAATACACCGACTCCTACTCCCACTGCCGTAACACCTTCAGCAACGGGAGGGCTTCAGAGCTTCCACGTTCCTGTTCATTCTGAACTGTCCAGCCCAGTTACTATATCTGCTCCCGGTATTCACATGATCTGTCAAGCTAATACTACCATGCCCCAAGTATCGCAAGCTCCACCAGGTCTTTCGATTGTTATTAATACACCCCCTCCTGTATTATCTGGACAAACGACTCCTGGCTTGCCTGTCGGTGTAGGGCAAACTACTCCAGGGATTCCTCTTATGCATACTCCTCCAAATCTTTCCTCCGTCTGTCCATCAGGATCAGGAATGTCGGTTGCTTCTGTAACTAATTCCTTTTCCGTTCCACCGCCCAGTCTTCCAACGTGAGAAAAGCTGAAAAGTTATCGCTATTGAATAATCTTTCCGTTCCAGAAACAACCAAAGACCTCTTATTCGTTTGAAGATAGAAGATCTACCTCCTGCTAATGTTGTACATTCCTCTCCTGTTCAACCAATACCGCCTGTTTTCGATCCTGAAGATGTAATTGACTTGGTAAGTCTTAATGCCGTATCGAACAAAACAGTCACTTTCTATCAATACAGGATGAAGAAGAAATGAGAGATCTGAGAGAGTCATCCAAAGCCAAAGCATCTTCCCCTATGGTTGCAGAAGCCATAATGCGAGCTAAGCTCACTCGGTTACAAATGAAAAGACGGGAAAAGGTACAGTTTGTTCACAATCCTTAGTATAACCTAATACCATTATTGAAGGCAGCCATGTCAGGAAAATAAGTCGTTGAACTTCAAAATGATTTCTGTTTTTTGCGTCCGGTGGTGGAGTTCGCGAGGTTGGGTCAGTTTAAACAACGCTCTAGTTCTTTATTCACATCGCATTCTAATGAAAACCGTTGTCATATGTATCATAATGTGCGTCAATGTAAACTCTGTCCACATGTATCGTTTGCAGGAATCTGAGGTGTTATTGAAATATCTTTTGTCATGAACTCAGACAAACTATGTAAAAGAATGTCCATAATTGCTTTATGTTTCAAATATCTCCTTGTACTCATACACTTCATTCTTCTTTCAGCTCAAGTAATCATTGTTAATCATCATTGCTGACCTCATTCACTTCACCCTGTTTGTTAATTTTGTTTTTTTTGGTATTAATTGTACAACAAATTCAAGGAAGTCGTTGTTTCCGTGTTGTTCATAATGACTATTGTGCATTTGCATTCGAACTGTTATGTTACAAGATTAAAGCTTTTATTTTGAATCGTTATTGAGAGCGAAAAGTCGCCTAATGGACTTCGCTTGATTTATGTTTTATCTCAAAATTTACAGGTTTTCACACAGTTGTCATGCTGAGAAGGAGTCCAGATTAAGAAGGGTAAGTTTTACATTTTCTTTATAGATAGTACTGAATAATAATAAAAAAAGGCGACACATCTCTTCTAGTTCAATAAGGCTTTTATCTGCAATATCAGGCCGAATGCTCTCTTTTACATTGTTATGTTTATACCGTTAGCCCCAGTTTTGTTGCAGGTTTAGACGTGAACAATCGTTGATGGGTCGTGATTTGTTCCATCGCTAGCGTTTCCTATCTGAAGCTAAAGATGTTTTTCATAAACAAGATATAATTACCTCTATCGTTGGAACATTTTCGGCTCCATAAATTTCTGGCAAAGGAACAGGTGCAGGCTCGGTCTGAAAAAATTGATGAAACCCATTAATTAATGGTCATGTACAGGACTACCGTAATCCGACCACGGTATGTTACTGTACTCTATATTACCTCTTTTTCTTTGTCTTTTTTGTCTCCGAGGGATTTTTGAACATAGCTCATGATGCGTTGAGCTACAAAATAAGCTGGTTAAATTGAGTTCTGGCTGGAAAAACTTACAGAACCGTCTGCCACTCAGAGTGTGTTGAGCGCTGACACTTTCTTCTTCACTGTCCTCTTCATCTCCAAACGCTGGGGAACGCAATATGGATTGTCTTTGTTTCTGAGTTTTCTCATAAGTTACTTCATGTTTTCAACTGCCTACTTCTGTTAGTTGAGTTGGTGATGCTTGTGACTTGAATCCGCACCATATTTTGGTTAAACATACAAGAAGGCCGGATGTCAGAGTTGCGAATAGAAGGAAAATGACTAAAAAAACAACCAATCCGTATACGGATTGATCAGTAGGGCTTAGCTCAGTATTTGTATCCATTTGTATCTTGAAGAAAATTCTTTATATATGCAAAGAGAGATGGAATCTAACTTACTAGGTTGTTATGCAGATTTGCATTGTACATGCAAGGTTCTGCTTCGATCATTCATCTGGCTCAGCGTCTTGATTAGGTCAATTTTCTGGAATAGATGACATTTAAACGAAAATTTTGACGACATGGATGAGATAAAGGCTAGATGTGCAGGTTCAGTAATGTATCAATGGGCTACAAGAGAAATAGAAGAAAGCACTAATTGAACGGAGTAAATGTCAGAAATATGAGAACGGGAAAGTCACGAGGAAGCTGCCCTAACTTCTTGAGAAAATCAAATACGAAGAAAGATAGATATGCGATTACGGATCAGTAACAATTGCACATTTGCTTGTAGATCTTGTTTGTCCTTTAGTTTTATTTTTGGATCTCTCGTGCTTCTCTTGTGATGATTCAATTATTTCCTGTGAATTGGCTTGAGAGATTAATGACATTTCCATTTAGTAGACAAAATTTGAGAACTTAAGATCGATTCAGCGTTGAATATATTATCATAACTAAGAGATTTATGTGTGTTTTGAATTAGATGGCTAAAAAAGGACGAATTAATAGAGATTATCATATGATATTTGACTACAGCCTAGTAACATGATGCCTCAGGCATATAGCTTGGAAACTGCGAAACGACAAACGGAATGTGCTGTTCAAGACTGAATTAAGACACGAAATGAATGAGGTTTAGAATTCTTAAAGAAATCCTGAAGGAATCACAGCTAACGAACATCTAAATTCAGAATCACAAAGGCTGTAGATGACAAAACGGGCAGAGAATGAAAACACTCAAAAGCAGAACAAACAGCTAAAGTTTGGAAACTTTTTATGTTTGTGTGACGTTTAACTCACAAGACGAAGCTGTCTTCGATGAATTCTTAATAAAGAGAATCAGAAAAAGCTCGGAAGTCGTATCTTTCGGGTTTGGCTGCGACTGAAGGATGAACTGATGAGGCAAAACTGAAAGATGAAAGAGGGACTGATTAAGCATGAATGATGAATATTGATCCAACTCGACTATGACTTTATCACAATTCTCTTGGAGCAACAGAACAAGACCGAATGATCAAAGAATAATCTAATTTTTCATCAATATTTCTTAATTTGTCGGTTGATACAGCAGAAGGCTTAGTAATATCACTTCCGGCGGCGTACAGATTATTATTACCGCACGCATATAGAATACAAGAAAGTAAACCAAATAAGGGAGAGTTATGTAACAGCTCGCTGCTGCACAATTGACAGGCTTTTCTAGAAATTGCAAATAGGATTTATTTTCGCCTCATCCTGTCGCACATTATTTAATAACTGCAAACAAATAAACATGAATGATAAGAGTTACAATATCGATTTGTAGTTTTGAAGGTTTTGTGTCGGCATTTCTGCCAAATGACGCCATAACGTAATGTTTTTCTCCAAGAACTGCTTTGGAAATTCTTCAAACATCATTGTTCTATATATAGTATCCCCCACTGATTTAGTAATTTGCAGGTTGGTCACGCGAATATCCAACACGTGAACTCACGTCATTTACATTTCCCAGAAGCAATGAACGGTTGTTCTTCCCATCACTCCGTCCACTCAGAGGTATGTTCAATTTTATTTTCCAAGCTCTCTCCTTGATTATGAACGGCGTTGTGGCTTTGCCTCTGATGATGTGAAGAAGAGAAAGAGGGAGAGTAGAGGGGGAGAGAGAAGGTTTACTGAGTTTTGTGTAAGTTGGTATTGGTTTTTTGAGTAATTCGAGTCATTGCTATGAGGAATAAAGCAAACATAGAGAGGCTCGCTTGCCAATTCAAACGTCAATTTCCTTCATTTGGAGTTTGTTAATAGAATTTGCAATTAATTGTCGTCGTTGAGAATGTTTTTTTTGTTCTCAACTATAATCTATTGGATATTTGATGGTGAATGATGATAAACAATCAGACAATCTCATCTAATATGTCATTGAAATGAAAAGATTTGTTGAAGTTTCGTGATTCGTTTTTCTCATTCTTTCTTAATTGCAGACGCTAAAATGTGTTAATTAATTAAAATATATATCTATTGAATGAGTCAAATGAGAAACAGAAATGATAGGAAAGAAGAAAGCTCGATTGGTTGATATTTCCATTTTTAATAAAATTCTGTCCAGCTGTTTAATGACATATGGAAGATAGAAGATGAAATAGTGAGTAACTGTGAGAGGGCATATTGGATAGATAAAGACTGCGATAGAATAGGGAGGGGGGTTTTCTCTTCAATGATGATATTTTACTATCTGGGAAGATCTCTGAAGGGGAATACCCCCCCCCCCACCCCTTTCTTTTTTCTATTTTCTTTGTTCCATTTGTGAGTTGTAAATGCTACGGTTAAACAAAAAAAGAGATTCTCAACTTGTCTTTCTTACAGAGCCCTTTCGACTGCGATTTGGTCACAAATACTTCTAAAGAAAGTTGTCATCTTTTGAAGGTTTGCCGTTTTTCGTCGTTTATGCATGCAACATCCTCAAGCCCCGTTTTCGAAGCGAAGAAAGTCTTTGAACTCCTCGATGTTGAAGAGAATCTTTGCTTTTCGTCCGAAACTTCTTTTTGCCGGATGTCACAGAGAGTGAAAAGCTGTCATTCCTTTGCTGCTCAATGCTTTCACCTTCCTTTTTTTCAAGCTTATTATTCACATGAGGTCCAATGGTTTCTTCCGCTGTTCTGATTTGAAATGTCTTATAACAGCTGAAGAGAACGTTTCAAGCTTTTTGCCGTCAATACTTCTAAAAGCAACTTTGAAATTTTGTGAAAACTTATTGCTTAAGCTGATTCTCAAGCCTCAACACTTTCAATCCTCATTGAATTTTCTCTTGTTTTGCCTGCGGCGAAAGAGCTTTCCAAGGTCTGCTTTGCCTATTTTGCTTTCCTTGTTTTCTTGATGCGTTTCTTCTGTTAAGCTATTTCTCTTCTAACAGTCTAATATTCCCTTCATCTACTATTGGAACAATAAGCTTTCCTCTCCATTCTCACTCCCCAACCCTATTTTTTAGTTTTCCTGCTATTTGAGTAATTCCTATGTTCCTTCTCCTTCTCATTGCTCTCTTGCTTCTCATATGATAGAAGTTCTTCTCTATGTTTCTCTCGTCGACTGCTGGTGTTTCCCTCCGACCCCAGACATTTGCTCTGCACAATATCTGTTTTTCAGCAGTCTTTTTGAAGGATTCAATTCTCTTCTATATTTCACAAATCTCTCACTGTGCGTTGTCTTTTCATTTCTTCAAAAGTCCTCTTTTCTTCTATTTCTTCTGAAATGTTACTTCGCTCTATAGCCTTTGGAGCCTCAGCTTCATCCTTCGCCCTACTTTGTTTTTCCTCTCTATCATACCCTTACTCTTGCATTTTCTAGCTGTCTGCTTATCCATTAAACCTCTCGAAAACCTACAATGTCTCAAATATTTTCTGCGACATCTTACTCACTGTCTAGCCACGTACTCTCTCCAGCACAGAGAACAACCAATGAGATCTCTGTCTTTCTATTCCACTCCAATTCCCTCCTTTCTCTTGTATGCTGGTCCTTTATTCCCCTCTTTCAATTCTGTCTCAGTCCATTTTTCGGCTGCTCAATCGCTTGGCAATACTTTACTGCTGTTAAGTTCTTTTCAAATTCTGCCAAAAGCTCTAAAACTTTTTGCTCCTCAAAAAAGCCGTTGGTATTTCCTTATTTGTCATTTTTTAATCCATACTTTCTTCTAATCCAGCTCGATTCTTATCAGCTACAGATTTCTGATCCGTTCTGTTTTTGGTCGATTCTGTCGTTCTTAACCATCTGAAGTCTATTTTTCTGGAAACCGAAGTTACGTGTGTGAGATTGATAGAAGCCCAGGAAAGGAATTATTAAAATGAATATATTGTTTTTGCGAACATGTCTCTACGTTGAAATGAGCAATAGATGCATAAAAAGATAGCAAATTCAGAAAGCGAATGAAGTGAAGAGAGAGACAGAGAGAGAGACAGAGAGAGAGAGAGGAAGAGAGAGAGTAAGATATAGAGGTGAAGAGAGAGAGAAACGAAAGAGGCAAAGCGAGAGAGAGGGAGAGAGAGAGGAATGACAAGGAAGAGAGGGAGAGATAGAAAAAAGAACTGACTAGATGAGCTGACATGTAAAAGCAGTTTCACCTCACAAGCCCTGTGTATGTAAGGGCGTCGGCTCGTTCCAATAGAGCTTCTCTCATTCGTTTTTTGTTCCATTTTGTTTTCTTAACTCTGGAAACATGTAAACAAATGGTCTTGTAATCATCCATTTTCTTCTTTGAAATATTGAGCAATATTTTATTTGGGCGCTTCTGCTGGAGTTTTTTGTCAGTTTGTGACGTCATCGAACAACAAAGCAGATGACAGGAGGCGCACAGAAATCGTTTCGTCTATTTGTGCTTTGCTGTAGAAGCTTCGAATTACAAGGGGAAAGTTATTTTTTTGAAACGGAAGTTTTGGAGAATCTCTATTTGGAGTTGTTTTAAACAAATACTTCCAGAAAGAGAGAGATCAAGGTGGGAATGAGAGTGTGACTGAGAGAGGAAGACACGAATCAACCGTTCTTCGTCAATTTTGCTGAAAAAATTGATTATGTGAAAGCGACGTGGAGCTTTCACGTATCCGAATTGCTCGGAAAGAAACGAAAAAATGTTTTTCTTTGAAAACACTTTGTTTCAATTGTGCGATTGAATTATATTATTTCTTCTTAATAATGAACATTTTCTCTTCTCGTTCTCCTCATTGATCGTTTTGGCTCTAAACATCCAAATTTTGTTTTTTGCGATTGAAAACTCTTGTTTGATCTCTAATTCCCTCTCTCTTTCTTTCTCTCTCTTCCCCTCTTCGCCACTCTAAACCTCCTTCTTTTACACATTATCTCAATAATAACCCATCTACCGTGTATTCTCAGAGCTTCATTTTCAGTTTTTTCTGAATAAAAAATGTCTGTCAACCCCCCCCCCCCCCCTCTCTCTCTCTCTCTTCTCCTTCTCCTCTTTTACTTCTTATATTTCTTTATGTTTTTCATGTGAATATTACATGGATTCCTTTGAAGAAAACACTACTTCTAAAACTTTCTTCTCCACATCTGAAGCAGATGCTTACTGGTTCAGAAGTTTCAGCTGCTCTCTCCCGTTTTGACGATTTGCCCTGCTTTCAGTCCCGTGTGTGCTTGGAACTTCGCGTTCTCTCCACGTCAGAAACTGCTCTTATCCTCCTCCATGCCTCTTTCTCATTCTCTCTATCTCTCTTATTCAATACTTCATATTCTTTCTGTCAGTTGTCTCTGTTGCTATCATTGTCCTTGTTGGAAGAGTATCAACCCAAGTTATGATATTGTTCAGTCAATCATTCAGCATCTGGTGAAATCTCCACAGTAAAGTACAAGACACTTAGAAATCATTTACTCCCCTACATGACCTCTAAACGGGTTTCTCTCTCAATCATCAAAACTTATGAGAATTCGTTTTTCCAGCCTTCTTTCTCGGCTGATTCATATGGTCGTTTTTGTTTTAATTTTTCCTCATTTTTATTATCGTTTCTTCTTAATCTGACTTGATCTTTGTCATATCTGATGTCTCATCGTTTCTCTCTCTCTCTTCAATTCTTTTTTTCTCACAATTTTAAACATTTGTGAATGATTTTTAAAAAGTTCTCTCACAACTTTTGGGAAGATTTTGCCCGCCCTCTTTAGCAAGCCAGCCGTCGTCATTCATTGCCCTTTGCTCATCCGCAGCACCTCTTCTTTAACATTTTTTCTCTTCTCTCTCTTCATTACCTTACTCATTGTGAATTGTTTCAGAAAATTCTTAAATATCTGAAAAAACGAAGAAAATGTTGCGTGAGTTGACGACCAGAGAGGATTTAGAACAGGCTGCCATCGAAACTAAGAAACACGTCGACACTATATACTTCCACTTCTCTATTGAGGGTTATCTGGATGACAAGTGAGTCTGAATTCGAAACTTGCCTTTATGCAACTCCGTGCATCGATCTCAACTCATTTTCTCACCCATAACTCTTTTATCTAATGATAGAAGTGAGAAAACTTGTTAAGAGAGAAACTTCTTTTGATCGTTTATGTTCGGACGCGTTTCTCTCTTTCCTTACTCGAGAATGAGAAGCAGAGATGCTTGGAGAGCATATCAGTTCCCGAACATTTGTTGTGTTTCAAATAATTAACGGAGCTTGTTTCAGTTTTCCAGAATCCCCAGTTCGGGTTTTTGTCTTCCCTGAATCAGGGCAAGCAAAATACTATTTTATGGTGAAGGACAATGTGTATATCAAGTAATTTGAAGAATATAATCATTCATAAACGAAGGAAAAATATTCAGACCATCATGTATGATGGCTCATATACCTGGAACTCATTTCGATCGTAATGAATTCATGAGCTGCATTCGTGAATTCAGGTAAGCGGAAAACATGATTGTGTTCTAAATGTAAACTGTTTCAGAATTCGTTCTTTGGGATCTCTTGATAGCAATAGCGCACATCTGGTCGTTGCTAAGGAGGAGCTGGTCAAACTGGTAGGGTAACAAGAAACAATCTTCTATAAAAGGACAAATGAAAACTGTGAAAATGTGAAATACGATGTGAAAAAATGGGAAAGACGGACGAAATTTGGATTTTATCTTCTGGATTTCACATTTTCGACCACAGGCAAGCATTTCTAACATCTTGCTTTGCGCTAACACGGCCTAAATCACGTGTAGAGCATGTTAAACTGAAAAAAATTTTTATTATTTTAGCCATTACGTCCGTTTTTTTAGAGGTTTTTAAGATATATTGTTATTTATTGACTATGTGTAACCTTTTTCTGTTTTTCAGTACTCGTTGACAATGAAAAAATTGTCTTGTGATGTGAGATCAACTGATTTGAATCTCTTCTTATTCTTCATGAATCCAACTCAACGTCAGAAACTTATGGAACACAAAGACCCTCTGCTACCTGATGGATATTATTTCGACGAGGTTGTCCCTAACTCATTCATGCTATTGACATAGTATTCATTTATATAGATTGATCCTCTAACTGAAGGTGAAATGGTCAATGCTACGTGGAAACATGCTCGCGAAGGAGATCTCGAGCAAACCATGTACGTTCTCATCTCAAATTCCACTTGATTAGACTGACGTCATCCTGCTATTTACCATTAATTTGCTTCTGTTCAGTGCCAAATTGGCTCGATTGCCCTCGTCCTGCGTCAAATTTGATGGACTTCCGGTCGCTTTCGAAATGATTGATCCCGCTGGCTTCTTCAACAATCAGTTTGTATTTGAAGAACATCGTCGTCGTGGTCTTGGAACTGCGGTTGAGGTTGCTTTAGCCAAGAAATGCATAAGGTTGATATATCATGAAGCATACAGTGTATCATATATCTCAAATTCAGAAGTGGAATGGTTCCTTATAAGACGGTTGATAAAAGAAACGTTGTAGCTCTGAATGCCTCAAAACAATCTCAATTCTGGACTCAATGGACAGATGAGAAAGAGGAGAAACCTATGACTGTTGTTTTCCAAGAATGGTCAAATGAAATGTAAATACTTTAAATTGGAGATCTTTCCTAGAAACGGCTCTGATTCTCTTAGATCACGATGTACGAAGTGATAGCTATTCTTGAAACTTACAATTCCCAATTGAATTCTTACCATTCTTTGTTTTATAACGCCTCTGTCGGCTTCCATTATAACTTAATGTCAGTTTTACTTTTAATAATATTTGATATCATATTGATATCTAGGTTCCACATGTCTTGTAGACATCCTATCTCCAGAGATTTATCTGTAGGCCTCATTAGTTGATTTCTAGTAAAACAACGTATTTTTGTGTTTTTTCTTACATCACGTGAGTGATCTGTTTGGAAGAATCACGAAATCGAAATAGTTCAAACGATTCCAAGAACAAACTACATCATCGCCAACAGAGCGTTTTCCTCAACACTCAATAGTTAGAGCATAACTCTCTAGAGCAAAATACAAAGACCAGGTTGAAGGAACGGAAGGTCAAAACGTTAGAGTAGTTCAAACTCTGGTCTTAGTCTCATTTTTAAACACCGATTTCATCTCGTTACATAAACTTTCTGAGTTTACTATGTTTTTTTTTGTGAGAGTTTGTCAAGTTCAGCTAAGCTCGCATTCTCGCGATTCGGATGACGCTTAACGTTATACGTTCATTAGCTTACAAGATTACGGTTATAATCTGTCTGCTTGGGAAGGGAATACAGATGTTGTTGCTCTGAACAACGCTTCTTTATATGAAATGATGATGAAATCAAAAGCTGAAATGATGAGTCAATGTAATATAATATTCTATGATAGCTTTGTTCAGTATAGAGCTATAGCCAATTACTACAAACCATTGAAGATGAAAATGATGTAATTTCAATAATTTCTTTAAAAATCGCATGTAAATCGAATAATGAGTATTAATGTTTCTTGTGTATGTAGGTACTGATAAAGTATTAGATATTATGGTTTTCGTTTGATCGTTCACTTATCAGAAGTAGTAACCACGCCCATATCGAATGATCTTTCTGCGGCTCTTTCAGCCCTTAACTTACAGTTCTATTGATTGGGTTCTCATCAATTGTTCTTTTGCCAATGAAGGTCTTTCTTCTGTTTTTTTACTTTCAATTTTGTTTTGCAAAATTAGAAAACATATCTTACTGTAAACAGCTGTTGTTTTATTTGGTTTTGTTCTTCTTAAATTGTTTATGAGTCATGAGATCTTCGTCATTTTCCTTATAAAATAACGACACATGACTTTTTCTTTTATCTTTATAAAGACCATCTAGAACTACGATCGATGATCAGATCACATATTTTGAATTTCTTTTTGATGATTTTTGATTTTTGATGGGTCCATTTTTCGTTGAGTTAGACCCTTTTTCGTTCCAACCCATGCGCGTGCACGACCGCTCCACACGTAAACCGCTTGTTGAGGAATGAAATGGACGTGAACAAATGCACGACCGTTCAACTCCTCAACAAAGTGAGAAATGAAATTTAAGCATTTTCATTTTCATCGCGTAAATAAAAAATGCGCGGTGTCGTCCTGCGAACTTCAGAACCTCAGAACTTTCTTCATTCTGGACCAAANTGCGCGGTGTCGTCCTGCGAACTTCAGAACCTCAGAACTTTCTTCATTCTGGACCAAATTTCATAATTTTTTCTTATTTTTCGAAACACTGTGAGCCTTCCGACTCTGAGATGTATTTCAATACTCTTTTGACTTTGCTTTCGACGCTTCAAATAGTCGTTGATCGTTCTTTGAAGTTGTAGTTCGGTGTCCAACTCTGATCATTCGTAGTAGTCACGCCCATCTCGAAAGCTCTTCTTACTGCTCATTCAATCAACTTACNTTCGTAGTAGTCACGCCCATCTCGAAAGCTCTTCTTACTGCTCATTCAATCAACTTACAAGACTATTGATTGTTTTTCCTTTTATCATCTCTTTTCTGCCAATTTAGTATATCGGTCTGTTTCGAGATTTCGTTTTAGAGTTGAAGGTTCCTGTTCGACTCTTACTTCTCTTACCCAACTGTAGTGCTCATCCAAATCAATTTGTTCCCTTACGTTCATTTCTTAAGATATCTTATGTTCCCTTCCGAGCTGGTAGTATCGGATCCTCTGTTCTTTATTTTGTTATTGATTAGAGTTAA